ATGAACCAAGAAAAAAACGAAAATTAGAAGACAGTTAAGGGAAAGCAGTTTAACATTTCTTATAGTTTTTGACTTGTTGATAAAGAACTGTTTGAGTGCATTCGTCGAGCTTTGACCACATTTATTTATTAGTTTGACATAATAATAATGTAATTAAAGAGTCGAACAATTAAAAACAGTCCTATTTTATTATTTCGATTAATAATAAAAGCACCAGATTGATTGCTCGGACCCAAAGCCATTAATGAGTATAACCTATTCTTTGGTCACTCTTCTTTACTATTACTACTATAAATAATATTGTCACTGTCATCTATTTATCAATCCAGTCTTCGATTCTCACGACAAAAACTTTTCACAAAGAAAATACATATTAATATGGCACGAGTTAGCCAATCGGATTTGGATTTATATGCCCTTTCATTGTAAGGGGTATATACAATGTTAAACCAATCAAAATTGATAAAACTATTTTTGCACGTGACATTACGAATTTTAACAACTCCCCAGCGTCACCATGAAAATTCACGTTCACATGACTGCAGTGGGTGAAATTATAGAAGCAAAATTTAATTTATGCTAAATTTTTTGTTAAACCTAAAATTATATATTAATATATATAAATAATCATGTGAACGTGAAATTTTCATGGTGATGCTGGGGAAAATAATTTTAACGCGACTCAACCAAGGTAGATTAAGATCCTTATTCATATAATTATATAGGAAAAAATTACCGCGACCACATCGTATCTTCATCGCGTCTATATTTTCGACAAGATTACTCAAAATTAAAATATCCGGGTAAGTCTAACTTGTATCTATTATTATTTTTATTAATCAAATGATAAAAGAATAAAACTTTGCATTCAGATTATTGGAACCGAGACTTTAACGCCGGGGAAACTTAAACGATTGGGACATCTACTGGATCGAAAAGCAAACACAGTCAACGTCAATTACCAAGTACAATCCCCACATAGTATACATATACGCTGGCAGATATATCAAGTATCAAAGAGACAACATCATGACGGATACAATTAAAATTCGATACAACACGCTAATCCAACCGTGGATTGCACAACTTTATCCAGATAACTCTAGGGTCAACTGTCTCCGTTACGCGCAGATTATGAAGTTAGTTATAACCGCGTTACTTTGAAGGCTTTAACAATATTGAAGTTGTTATTTACTACTGTTTATTTAAATTATTAGATATCAACCTCGCGTGGAGAGTTTACAATTTACGATAGAGACGTCAGCATTTGGTGCACGGTTGACGTTCCGTTCATGGTCTCTGTATGCGAACAACTGTAAGTAAAGACCTTGAAAATATTACTAATAAGTAATTTTAATTTGTTGATAGTTATTATTCTAATTTGTAGTGGCAGACCAAAGGCATTTAGGCCTGGTGGGTTTCTCGCCATAAAATGCTTCACAAAATCGGACAATATTATCCATTTGCTCGATTTTGAGATTATAGACGGATATTTAGGTATAATTAAAGAACTAATTGAACCAAATAGTACAAATAATCATCACAGTAAGTGACAGAACTTGATTTTCTGCTGCATTCCTCTTCTTCCTTGAGTAAATTATATCTTCTCTGTTACGCCGATTACACCTGAAAATTTTCGAATAACCGAAACGGTCATGGGCATCCAATTCGTTACCTTGAAAGAAATAGTGGCACGCAAATTTTCGGTTTCAGGCGTCGTAGTTTCCGATAACATCTATGTTTGTCGTGAAGATCTCAACAACACGTATTCATATAAAAAGACACTACTCTTCAATCAGGTATGATGTCTTTCTAACCATTAATTAACCAGAAACGTGTTAACGAACTAAATTTACTTTGTAGATGATTATAAAAGTAATAACATTACTTCTTGATTGCCCCGATACGAACCTGATTTTATCATTTCTGTCGTTCACCAGTTACATACGAAAACTGTTTTATTTGTGGGTGAAGTAAGTCCCCCATCACAAAAAAACAACACATTCAAAAACTGTAATGATCTCATCCGCTTTATAAAGGACTGCTTGGATTCAGCTATTGACAAAGGAGCAGACATTAAGGTGTTGGGTTTTCAATGTATCGGTAAGGCAAACAATAACGCTTTTGTTGTTTGATGTAATTGGTGAGTTAACTACTCTTGGAATTGCTTTTGTAGACTACAAGATTGATTTTTACGTCATGGATTTAATCAAAGACATATATGTAATGGCTCACATTGGTCAAACGATAATTCCCGCTTCCTGCTCTCATTTGTTGATGAGATGGAAATGCTCTGCACGTACGAGAAATATTTCGCACATCGTTCGAATTTTATATGCAATCCCTGTCCCCCATTAGCAAAAGCATCGGATAAAAACGTCCTAACTCGTGGCTTTCGTAAGGTTGAATGCGGTTATTTTTATGATTTTCTACAAACTGTAGACATTCACTAACAGTCTCACAAACAGGGTCAAATTACTATAAAGAACAGACATCGGTTTGGCCTGGAAAACAACTGGCCGAGTCTGCGGTATAGTTATTTGTGTTCCGAGCCATTTTGGCTTCATTTGCACTCGACGTAAGCCATCAAGGGTTGTTGAACTTTTGTCGCCGAAATTAATTTAATATTAGTACCGGTACTACTTGTAGTTTCGTCGCGTCCCTACTATTAAGTACGCATATTATTATCCGTTGTAAAGATAACAATTACTGGCAATTATGTGGTATGTATTATTGCAATTATTATATATTTGCATACTACCGCCTAATAACTTTACTTTTATCATTATAAATAGGCGCACCTATAGACACACACTTTAAGAAATCAATCCGCCAAATCCCGCTTAGTAAAAGCGGAAAATAGGGAAATCCAAAAACGGCGATATAATTTTGATGTCTATCCAGGTGGGTCCCGGCACCCTCGAAATGCCCAGAACCATGAGAACAGAATTATCCACAATAAGGTGCCTGGCGTGTTGGTGCTGGTCACTGGCATTAATGACTTCCAACCCGTAATATGGGATGCCGTTCAGTTAGAGTAGATGGTCGAGATATACTTTTGGAATTCTGGTAAGAAACTGTTGTCATGATTGCTTGCTCTTGTTTCTTAGATCTTTTTTTGAAAAGTTTGTGCTATGGATATTTTTGTTTTGCGCTATAGCCAACTCACTTGAGCTATTATGCGATGAAATACTCTCCATTAGGATTCTCAAATCTATTGCTTGACCTTGAGCTAGAATCTCAAAAACCAAAACGAAGGCGCCAGTTTCTATTCTCTAGATCTCAATTGAATTTTGTAGCAATTACAAACAAATATCAGATGATAGCGTATTATTACATACTATTAGTAATTATTGTGACAGAATTGACTAAATTTCAACGCGGAATTATTATTATTGGAGCATGGCTGTTTGACCACTCATTACTCACAAATATATAATAAGGACAAGTGGCATCTTGTAATGATTGTTCTGTCCAATCATCAACAATCTGCAAAACAGGCCCACAATGGCTTTGTCCAGTCATCTGGAACTGTTGCCAGTCTTTCAACAGTTAGAAGAGCATTGTTATCACAGTCGAGTTGCAATCAGAAAACCTCTCATTTCAACCAAAAACTGTTTGTTCGCTTTGTAACCGATTCTGTTTCCTCTGGCGGCATTGTATTAATCTTTATCGAATTTCCTGTTTGAAGTGTTCGTGTCTTCGATTTATTTAGCAAATTCCATGCCGATCATTTCATCACTCTAGAATTAATTGCCAATTTCACCATACACTATCAGTCATGTTGATATTCTCCGCAACTCGTAAGAGAATGCGGGAATTGCTGTAAGTGCCAAATATTTAATATTAGAGATTTTGATTGGATAATGATTTGTAGTAAATATAGCTTCAGTCTACTTATAGATCTGTCATAGTTGTCTATTACTGTTACCTTATCATCACAAAAAAGCATTGGCAATTGCATTTGTATTTTTATTACAAGCACACTACATTGAATGTACCTTTCCTACACCTGCAATAATGCATTCACATCTTCATCCAACGTAAACGTGGTAACTGTTAAGACTACTATTACTATTACTATCACTATGTGATCTTTCATCACATGCTGAAAATCAATGTCAAAGAACCAAGCTTGCATATTAATATGACTATGAAAAATATATGTAAGATCATCCACATACTAATACAACTAATTAGCTTCAAAAATGATGCAAAATTCAGTACGTACGAGAGCAAAACCATATTATATAAATAAATAGCTAAGTTTTATTTTTATTATTATTATTATTATCATTATTATTCAAATGGGAACATTGAGAAAGCCATTCGAATGCACCATATGTCATTAAATTTAAATAATGTTCCAGTTGGCAATTCACCACGCACCAATTCGTTTTATTCCTTGACCTCTAGAGTGATCGTTGGCTATCAACTTAAATTTTATCCAACTTTCTCAGAGTGTTCATTTTCCGTAGGCAATAGACGAAAACAGTGGCACTCAAACCGCATGCAAGACCACTAATCGCGGCAAATGCATTAACATCGTCTTCTAAGAAATTCTTCAAGTTCATACCAAAGAGACTGGCAATCATAGCACCGGTTCCTACACCTAGGGTACCCATGGTCAATTTCAATTCAAGAAGCAACAAAGCGTTCCTGTTTGCGTCTAGAATGATGTTAGCAATCTCTTCAGTTGACCTCATGTTAGCTGACAACGTCGCAACAGTATTGGCTATCTCCTCGGTCTGTTTCAGATATGATTCCAACAACAATTCAATCTCCTCGTGTTGATCCATCGCTCGAGGTTTATTCTTTGCTTTTTCCGTCAAATACATAGCCGCCAAATCTTCATCTAAAAAGCAAGTAGAAATCGAGGAACTATAAATAGAGATATCAAATATGTATTAAAAAAAAAGCCAGTAAACTTAACTCTTGACTACCTTGATCTAACACATCTACAATAGCGTTCCGTATCATAAGCGTTTTTTGTTCGAATTTAGAAAGTTTTTTAGAGTATTGGAGTAGTAGTTTTAATTTCTCACGATCAATGTTCTCTTCGAGATCTGTTAACAGTTTAGATACCAAGTTCACCAAAACTTCCATTTCTGCTTGAAGAGTTGATATGACACTTATAAATATTGCTTCCAAAGCTCTTGGAAAGAGAAGAGGGGGAGGGAGGGAAGGGTAATCATAATTTTGGTTAATGCATAATGACATTACTGATTACTACATCAATGACGCCGTAAACGTCTCAGTATTAGGAAACGAGGAATTTAAACACATGCCAGATATATAGCTCTTGAGGTGGCTTACCTAAATTCAAAAGGAAGCCCACCCGCGGCAGCAAAACCCATTCGCAATTTTTCCTGTAGGTCATATACGAATATGGATTGATTGTAGCTGTCGGTCGAGCCAACCGAATCAAAAAGAACGACCAAATCAGCCTTTATCAATGCCCGGATATGAAGTAAATTTACAAGGATTGCTTCTTTGCGGACAAGAATGGCAGGAAGTTGATTGATGTATTTGGTATCAATCTGCAAAACATCTTCGAGTCAGCCCAAATTTAAAGATGAGAGAAATCCAACAGCTTAATTTACCTTTCGTAGATCTCGTGGCTTCAAACGTCACAAATAAAATAAGGGAAAGAGTTTCAGCCCAAAAATCAAAAGATTCAAGTCATGGAAACAGAAGCCAACTGTCCCTTTACCTGCAGACTATGCTGCATTTTCATAATGATAAGATAATCTTAATGTAAGTAATTTTAATATGATTGATGTGGTCACCACAAAAATCTTGCCTGTGCGCAAAGATCCGATTTCAAAAATTCACCAGCAGTAGTCTTCACGTTCCCTATTAAAATCAATGGCTAATTAAACAAATCTCGTTGTTGGACGAGCTGCCCCGACAGAGTTGGAGGAACTAATTTGGTGCGGGATTCCTTGATCAAGTAGACTCACCTTTATAATCGAATTCGGTACCTGCAGCGAAGACACAGAAACTTGACACCATTAGTGGGATATCCGCAATTAGATTAAGCCAAAACATAGCAATAATATCGTGCCAATAATGATAATTGGAGCCTTGTAGTCTCATTATTTGCCGAGGTTAAGAATCTACGTACATCTCAGCTTCAGTTCATTTATTTTAGGAGAATTTCGAGTGACGGAGGGTGTTTCTGTTATTACTCCCCTGCACTGACGGACAACGGCTGTTGCTGTTTGTCGAGATTTTATGCCTAAATTAAAGCAACCAAAATTGCTGCTGAAGAACGTTCCCTTCGAAACGGCCACGGAATTGAAATGAAATCCTCTTTGCTTAATAAAGCCAGTACTTTTAGTTTGCAACACAATATTTCGGGCATTTGTATAAAAGAAGGTAAGTAAGCGAGTCTGCGAGACTATTTGAAAAGTTGAGTTTGGTAGAGATCGCGGCCAGAACATAATGTCTTGTAGAATGTGTCAGCTACGAGTATCTTGTCATGCTTTCCCTTTTCGGCAATAGCACTTGATCACATGAAACAAGCATGCATTTTCTTGCACCTTTAACAAACTTTAACCATGCATGTATTGTCACGGCATGAAGAGGAGAAATTGCTGACCAAACTAAAAAAGAATGCTTTGGCTACTTGCGATCCGGAAGTCCGAGGTTGATGTTAATCGATTTAGCGCGGTCATTAACAGAATTTTTTACCGACTAATTTCTGCGATTTCTTTAGAGTTTGCAGAATGTGCCACAGGAAGAGTTGTGTCGGTCGTGTGGGCTTGTCGAGTTAAACTCAAGATGATGAACGCGTGTCTACACAAGTAGTAAGTATTGACACTGTTCGATTTATTGCTAAAGTTGACATAAACATGTTTACAAAACTCTGTTGAACTTTGAAGCACTACTGAAGAAGAATTAGATAAGTTAAGATTGAAGTATATTGAAGAAAGTCGAAATACCCAATGAATGTTGTACCCACATTGATCATTCGCAATATCGAGCTCATCGCTCATATTGCATTATATACAGTTCGAAATACAAAAGCATTTAGTACAAGATGTAAATTCAACGCTCGCCGTCGGTCTAGCCGCGATTGATTGATTGATTGATGAGCAATCTGTTCGTTTGTTTTCCATGTGATTGTCATCTGTCCTCGTTGTACAAAACTGTAATTCTCTGGTGGCTCGACTAACATGAATTCGAAGTTATTGTGTTATATATGATGCATATGCGTGACTATCAATTAGTAATATGGTTGGTATTTCCTAATGGTTTTCGTTTTGGAGTTTGAAGAAACAACACGCCACACACTTTATGATTGTCATTGACTACTGAGCATGAATGATCATTGTACCAGGGCGATAATTGATACAGGATAGAAATGTTGATGCTGAGTTGAGTTTTAGTGCAAAACGGCCGTTCGAGAATTATTTCCTATAAGCGCATAGATTGTCGCTATCTGCATGAACGAAGATATTGCAGAGCGTATGATGCGAAAATAGAAAACTTTTATATTTGCACAAATGTTTTATAGATTTACCGTTTATACCTGATTGCGGCTCATGTAGATGCGATTGCCTTATGCTTTTGTGATATCAAATCTTGCTAACAGAAAAATGTAGGTAATCGCGTTTCCCTTACATCTACATCGGAAGAGAACATTCACCCTTGTAAAATGAGCTTACAATTAAGAGTTATTATTAGGAAGTTTGCTTCAAGCCGACGGAAAGCCTTGTTCCGTATTGATATGCAAGTAATATTTGCTGAACATAGTATTTCCTAGAAAGCTTCAAGTCAAACGTTTATTTAAACAATGCTTTGTAAAAATTTTGTCACAGAAATACGGTTTCCTTTTGCTGCGTAATTGCCGGTAACTTTCTATGACACTTTAGAAATAATATAATAAATTTAATAACATGTTCGAAAAACTTATTTGATTAATCTTTTTTGCAATCATATAACTAGACGCGCCAAGTTAACAGTAATTCAAGCAACCAACTTAATTAGCATGTACGGTTTACGTACTTTATTTGTTAGCCTTGCTGTTAACGTTATTTAAAAAAAAATTGACCATATACACAAATTTATTCGGTGGGTTTCGTTGTTACTTGGTATTATGACATGTTTAAAAAAGACAACTGAAATTTCAACTTTTTTTTTCATTTCCATAAACTCGTTCCCTTATCGTCTGGACCATCTGTTAGTAGGCATCCTTTGTGTTATAAGTGAACCCAAGAAAGGAGGCTGAGTGCGTCGAATAAAGACCTCGAAACCCTCAGAAAACCGAGAAAGGGTTGATTTTGTGTGAACTAAACCTTGCCTTATTTGGTAACATAATATACAACTGCTGTCATATCTCTATGCGATTAATTGACCATACGATCAAATATGGGGATATTAGTATTAGTATTAGTCAAAAATAAGCGACGACTTTTGGAGGTTTACGATTGAAATGTTTCCGAAATAAACCCTCTCCCCTTACTACCATATTTGTGTAATGGGACAAAAGCATTCACCATAGTTATTTTAATTGTGAGTCAGCAATCATTGTAAAGACCAAGCATCCACGTAAATACGAACTGCACCTTTAGCGTTCACTCGTAGGTGCAGGCAATAAAGAACGCAAAACTCCACGTAAATACGAACATAGATCGACTAAAGTAATTATTATTATATAATTCAATTCTAACGTGAAATTCGGAGATTTCAGCATCATCCGTGACATTTATTAATTGAAATTAAGCGGGTAAATTTAGCGGTTTCTTCTATTATTCTAAAAATTAATTATATTAAAGAAATTGTAAAGTACTGTGATATTACGTACGCTACACCTTTTCTATTGGAGCTCGATTTGACACGTCTCTGACGCGCCTAGCAATTACTTTGACTGTTTCGCTTATTAGTGACAATATTACAAAACATATTGCTATCTTGCCCCATCCAAATATGGGTACTGGGGTAAGTGAAAGCCATTGACGTATTCCTACAACATAATATTGTTAATATAAATAAGTATTGATTAATGGAGAAAGTGTAATAGATTTTGGTTACAATAATTACCTGGAGTGTATATCCCGAGGATTAATAAGCCCCAAGATCCTAGCACACTTGCAATCATCCACTTATTTCCCAAAATACCAGTTTTGAATACACTTTCATTAACCGTTCTGGACAGAAAGCCTTGGAATAACTGCAGTGTCGTCAGTGTAGCAAATGCCAATGATCTGGCATCTTCCAAAGGTATATGTTCAAAATCTAGTGCGATTTTATATGTGCCGAATGTCAATAGAGCCATCGCAAACGCCTGGGCTATGATCATCGATGTTACCATCTTGCTGAGTACAGGTGATTTAGGATTACGAGGACGTCTTTTCATTATATCGTTTTCCGCTGGTTCGACACCAAGAGACATCGCGGGTGGAATATCAGCTATTAACGTAAAACATTATCGCGTTATAGTCACATCATAATCAAATTTGTGTGGTAAAACAACTTCGTCACTTACCAATTATATTGGCCCAGAGAATCATAATGGTCGTAAATGGCAAATCAATATTGATAATGGTACACAGAAGCATTAAAACTATTTCAGCCCCGTTGCAACTTAGTAAATAGACTATAAATTTTAGAATATTATCGAAAACTTGTCTTCCTTCTTCAACCGCTGCTACTATTGTCGAAAAGTCATCGTTGGCTAAAACAATATCTGCTGCCTGTTTGGTAATCTCTGTTCCTCCCATGCCCATGGCTACACCAACATCGGCAGCCTTGATAGCAGGTGCATCTGCAAGAGTAATAAAAACATTACGTGTGAATAACAATTACTAATAATGAAAGCATTATTACTGAAAATTCGAAATTTAACGCACCATTGACACCGTCTCCCGTCATCGCAACTGAGTTTCCAAGTGCTTGCAGTGCTTTAACAATTTTCAACTTGTTATCAGGACTAAGTAAAAGCGGAAGTCGTTAATTACGTAATTGACGACACAACACACAGGAATATACGTATAATATTACCTAACGCGTGCAAATACGCTAGGGAAAGGCTTTAATTCGGCTATAGCTTCATCAGACAATAGATCTAATTCAGCCCCTCGTATTGTGCGACTCTGCAAATGCAGTTATAATAGTTAAGCATAAGATTTAATTACCGCGCTCGTTTCATAACACTGAACTTGCACTTACCATGTTGAGCACTCCAGGTTCGCAAATACCAATGTCAGTAGCTATAGCCGTAGCGGTAACAGCGTGATCTCCAGTAATCATAATAACCTTAATTCCAGCATTTTTACACTTGGCAATAGACTCGGCAACGCCTTTCCTAGGCGGATCGATTAATCCAATTAATCCAACGAACGTCAATCCATTTTCCGCGAACGCAGGATCAGAAACAGGCTCAACCGATTCGGCATCATTTACTGTAGGAGTAACATCTTCTTGTGTATCATCCTTCTGTGTATCATCCGATGATAAAGAATCCTTATCAAGTACACTAACTCTCTTGTATGCCAATCCAAGAACACGAAGACCTTTTGCAGCCATACGGGAGCTTTGCTCTGACACTAGATCACCAAAAGAATCATCTAACGGAACCGGTTGGATGTTAAAAGATGTTTGTGGTGAGGAAGTTGAAGCAGGTAAGCGGGCTGTACATTTTTGAAGCAGCTGCTCGGGCGCTCCTTTGGCCAACACTATAACTGGTTTATAGTTAGGAGAAACGTCAACCTCGGCATCTGTATAGATGGATTCCGGTACTTCATAAGCAACACTCATGAGTTTACGCTCGCTATCGAACGGTTTCTCATAAATCTTTTTGAATTCTTTTTGTTTCTCCCAATAGTCTTTTGGAAACCCGCCCTTTTGTGCCGCAATTACAAGGGCCACCTCAGTCGGATCTCCAATCCCCTTATAGCCGCTGCCTTTAGTGTCGTCAGGAACGACAGATGCGTTGTTACACAAGGCTGTAATCATCAAAGCGGTAACAACCGCTGCAGGTGTCTCTTTTATATCCTTGGATACTTCTTGGGGATTATCTTCCTGAAGAATTTCTTTCTTTTCCTTCTTTACAGCCGCACTTTCCGTTAGAATGAGACTAGCGACAGAGCTTT